TGGGGGCTGGGCAGGCCCCCTGCAGAGGTCTGGCCGAGTCCTGGAGCCTGGGACGGCGATAGCATCGCCCCAGAGCGCTGGGTGGAACGGCACGTCCAGACTCGGCGGGTCTGGCTGTGAATCGGTTCCCAGGTTCCCAGCGCCGGGGGACTCGGCGCTTGCCCCTGCGGCCGGATGGGATGGAAGTGCAGACCCAGACCGCCGCTCGGGGCCTGCTGGGGTCGCTGGCGGGTCCTCACCCCACCCCACCCGGGCCAGGGCTGTGGGAGGCTGGACTCTGGAGCACCCCGCATGGTGCCCTTCGCGGAGAGAACTCGGGGACGGCTGGGATGTTCCCGTGGAGCAGGAAGCCCGCGGGCTACTCAGGACTCGCGGGGCGGGGGAGGAGGTGGGGAGGGGGCAAGCTCTCCCCAGATGACTCCAGTCCCCGCGTGTGCCTGGAGAGAAACACGCCGTCGTGGCGGGGGTGAGCTTCGGCCTTGATGGCCTGCCCTGCGCCCAGCAGCTGGAGCGGGAGCCCAGGAAGGGGGGGCCCGGCCTCCAAGACAGACGGCAGCGCCCTTCGTTCACGTATTGATGCGTAAAGAAGTCAGAACGGTTTGGTTTTTCCAACGGGATGGGATTATCCCACGGAGCGCCGCTCCGGAGCCTGGAGGTGGGGAACTGGGGAGCTAGGACACAGCAGCCGCCGGGCAGAGCCCGTTGGGAGGCGGGTGGGAGGTGGAACCGGACGGAGGGGTGGGCGGTGCAGGAGGCAGAGAAAGGCGGGCAGGGCGGCTTTCCCGGGTGTGCGGAGCTTGGAGCTCGGGCAGTCAGAGCCGCTCTGCAAAACCCGCTCGCAGCCTCTGATTCGCCAGGCCGGCCCGCGGAGACGCCACGGTGCCCAGAAGTCATCCCTCTGCTTCTCGGCGGTGGCTTGGCTTTCTCCGGAGCGTGAGGGCCCAGGCCGACTTAGAGCCTTAGAGAGCAGTGGGCGGAGTGAAGAGACGCGGCCCCTCTCGCACGCCGCGATGCTGTGTGTGTGTGTGTGTGTGCGTGTGCGTGTGTGCGCGTGTGGATCCCTCGGGCTCACCGTGGATGGGTCCCCTCCCAGAGCCGTGAGAGCAAGGGCCCCGCCTCTCTGCGCCACTCTCCGCTCCCAGCGTGGACGGGGCAGGGCTCGGGAGATCGGAGGTGGCCTCCCGTCCGCTGGGTCGTGCAGTCAGTGCGTGTGCGTGAGTCTGCGTGCTTCCGGGTGTGCGTGCAGACGTGTATGGGCCCATGCACCTCTGGACTTAGGTGGGCTCTTGACACGAGTCTAGAGTGCTCCAACATGTCTCAACATGTCTCATACATGCATACATGTATGTACCCATGCACCTCTGGACTTAGGTTAGCTCTTGACACGAGTCTAGAGTGCTCCAACATGTCTCAACATGTCTCATACATGTATACATGTATGTACTCATGTACCTCTGGACTTAGGTCAGCTCTTGACATGAGTCTAGAGTGCTCCAACATGTCTCAACATGTCTCATACATGCATACATATATGCACCCATGTACCTCTGGACTTAGGTCAGCTCTTGACATGAGTCTAGAGTGCTTCATCATGTCTCAACATGTCTCATACATGTATACATGTATGTACTCATGTACCTCTGGACTTAGGTTATCTCTTGACATGAGTGTAGAGTGCTTCAGCATGTCTCATTAGAGTGCTTCATCATGTCTCATACATGTATACCTGTATGTACCCATGCACCTCTGGACTTAGGCTAGCTCTTGACATGAGTGTAGAGTGCTTCATCATGTCTCAACATGTCTCATACATGTATACATGTATGTACCCATGTACCTCTGGACTTAGGTGGACTCTTGACATGAGTGTAAAGTGCTTCAACATGCCTCATTAGAGTGCTTCAACATGTCTCAACACGTCTCCTACATGCATACATGTATGTGCCCATGCACCTCTAGACTTAGGTGAGCTCTTAACATGAGCGCAGAGTGTGTCCACGTGTCTCACTGGGGCTTTTACTTCCTCGACCCGAGGGGCCCAATTCCCAAGACAGGGTCCCGTGTCCAGCATAGCGCAGAATGGCACGGGTGTCCGTTCCCGGCTCGTAATCTCCAAATACCCCCGGGGTCTGGGACGCCTTCTCTCCCGAGCCCTCCCGTGCTCTCCACCTCAAAGGCCCTTCCTAGGAAGGCTCTAGTCGGGGGTCCCCCCCCCAGGCTCCGCAGAGGGGTCACCTGGGGGAGTGTTGAAGGCTCTCAGTTTGCACCTGGCACCGATTAACTCGGAAGTGGGCAGGCGGGACCAGGTATTAATACTCCTTAAAGCTCCCCGGGCAGTGCCAGGTTGGTTTTTCAACGTGTGGTCTCTGCATTATCTGCATCAGCATCACCAGGGAGAGACTTCTTTAAAATGCGGCTTCTGCCCCTTACCCCGGACCTGGGGAATCGGAACCCAGAACCCAGAAACAGAACAAACTCCCCGGGGTTCTAACGCACAATGCAGTTTGAGAACCGCCAGTCTGCTGCGTGCATTTCGGACACGAGCCCCTCGGAAAACACACACACACACACACACGCTTCCTCTGAGCACCCCTGCCCTCCCCACGGGGAAAGCGCCCCACGCCCCTCAGGCCTGGAGGTGAAAGTCCAGATTCTTCCTCTTTTGCTCCCGCTAACGAATACCCATGCTTTCTCCCTGCAGTCCCTTGGCCAGGTGCACTTAATCGTTTCCAGGTGCGTTTCTGAAATGCAACCTGAGTCTCACCCAGTACCCCCGGGGCAGGAATCCCTCGTGTCTAGCCAGGCCCTCCTGCCCCAGGCCCTCCCACTGCCCTCTCAGCTCAGGGACTGCACCTGGCCACCAGGTAGCTGGATAAGCTGCCTCAGCCACCACAGGCGGACGCCTAGCAGCGCCCCTTCCGGGGCTGGCTACCTGGGCCGCAGAGGGATGTCCAGACAGCAGCAGCAGCAGCAGCTGACGTGAGTCTGGGTCTGGCGCAGGGACCAGCTCCCAGAAGTAGGAGGATGTGCCTGAGACTATTTGCACCTTCACCTCAAAAGGAATAGAGTCCCCTCCCTAGACCCATGTCACTGGTCTAGCCAGAGGTGATGACTGAGACCTTAACCTTTAGAGGAATAGAGTCCCAGGCTGGCCACCCTCCCTTTCCCGGACCTAGAAGGCCACCTTGAAAGAAGTGTCTCAGGGTGGTCTCAGCTGCTCGTAGGCGGGAAAGGGGAGCACAAGGCCCCCTCTCATTTTGATAAGGCGGGCAGAGGGTCCCCAAGGTCCTGGCACTCCAATCTGTGGAGTTTCTTGCTTAGAACCCGGCTGGTGGCCCTCTTGTTTGCAAAGCCCAGGCGTCCTCAAACTACGGCCCGCGGGCCACCTAGCACATTTATCTGGCCCGCCGGGTGTTTTTGCCGCCGCTGCCTGTCCTGCTTAGCAGCCTACCCGTCCAGGGCCCACGGTGCGCACTCTCCAACGGTCTGAGGGACAGTGAAGTGGCCCTCCCTGCTTAAAAAGTTTGAGGACCCCTGCCCTAGATGCTCGATGCTTGGGGAGTCATTCCATCGGCAGAGACTGGACACAGTGAGACGTCTTCAAAACATGCCGCTGTCCGCCAACGGTTTGCTCTTGCTTTGGGGACCGGTCTGTCTGACAACAGACCGGAGGAAGGGGAGGGGGCCGCTGGGGTGGGGTTCCTGGGAGAATCGGTTGTGAACACGCCAACAGGGACGGTCACAGCCCCCCCCCGTCCCTTCCAGAGAGAGCCTTTCCATTGCACAACCCAGAAAAGACCCAGGATTGCTAGCAAATTCTTGGAATATCTTTAAACCCACATTTGTTTACCCTCTCCTCTTCCTCCTCCTCCTCCTCCTCCTCCTCCTCCTCTGTTCCGCATCTCCGGACAGATGTACCTTGTCCGCCCTGGCATCTCTCCCATCCTGGGGAGAACAATAGGAGTTGGGTGTTGCATTTAAATAAATATTTAATCCATGCAAATTATCTTATATGTTTTAAAACGCTCTTTATAAAGCTATTTTTATTCTCTGGAAAGCGCTTATTATAGGTAAATTATACATTTTACTACCGGAGTGTTAGGTTTGCCGTTAGCACAAATTTAAGGCACTTCAAAGGCCAGTAGATAATGTTAATTTCAAATACAGAAACTAAATATATTTTTCTGCCTTTTTTATTACTCATTTTCTTTTTAAGTTTTATCGACTGCTTTTTATCTCAACTATATGTCTTTTACATGCTGCCATCGTAATGCACCGTAACGGTATTAATATTTTATAGAATCGGTATTTATAGTTCTTTATTTAGAAACAATGCCGTGGGTCTGCAGATATCTGAGCCTGTCTGGAATCGTGCCCTCCAAATAATGATAAATTACTTGTGCAGTATGCCATTTGCTAATTATATCCATGATTTACTGCAGAGCAAGACTTAAATCATTCATTTCAGTCTTGCGTAACAGCGCCATAAAATTTTTAGGTTTTAAAAATGGTTTCCATGTGTATAATTTAAACAAATTTCAGGGCCATTGTATACACAAAAAAATATCGAAACCACCCATTTTGTTACATACTTCGCCTCTTTAAACTTCTACTTTTAATGATCACTGTGGTTGAAATTATTATGCTTAATTTTCATAATCATAGCTTTTAAATCTACAGCCGTTTTCACGTTAGATAAAGAAAAAAAAAAGATAGCTAATTGTGTGTAGATCGTATGTCACTCCCGAATAGTCCCAAATGGTACAAAATCATTAAAAAAGCTTAAGAGTACGAATTATTCTCCTATTAGAAGAAGAAAAAAAAAAGCAAAAAAAAAGCAGTTGTTCCCTAACTAATTATTAGTCTGAGCCGTTTTGTCGCGAAGAACAAATGTTGATCCTTCCAGCCCCGTTCGGCACGGCACAACGAGAGATGAACACTTTCTTTTTGTTTTGTTTTGTTTCTCTTCCCCCCTTTTCTCACACCCTGACCCCCTGCAGGTGAGAAGCCCTACAAGTGTCCGCACTGCGACTACGCGGGCACCCAGTCCGCCTCCCTGAAGTACCACCTGGAACGGCACCACCGGGACCAGCAGAACGGGGCCGGGCTGCTTTCGGGGCCCCACCAGGACCCCAAGGAGGAGATGCCCGGCAAAGCCCCCCTGTTCATCCGGCCCGACATCCTGCGGGGGGCCTTCAAGGGGCTCCCCGGGATCGACTTCAGAGGGGGCCCGGCCTCCCAGCCGTGGACGTCGGGGGCGCTCCCCTCCGGGGACCACCCGGGGCAGGCTCCGGACGCCCCTCCGGACACCCTCAAGGGCTGCCCCGCCGACCTCCCCGCCAAGAGCTCCCACTTCTCCGAGCTGGGCAGAGCCTACCAGGGCGTGGCCGCGAGCAACGGCGTGAGCTTCCAGGGCTCCCTGCAGGCGTTCATGGACAGCTTCGTGGTCGGCTCCCTGAGGAAGGAGAGGGACGGGAAGGACAGAGCCCTGCCGGACGCCGCTTGCGCAAAAGCCCGCGGGGCGGAGGGGCCCCCCGAGGAGAAGCCCGGGGGCGGCGGGAAGCCCTCCCAGAGGAAGTCGGAGAAGTCCCAGTACGAGCCGCTGGACCTGTCCGTGCGGCCAGACGCCGCCTCCCTGCCCGGCTCCTCGGTGACCGTGCAGGACAGCGTTGCCTGGCACGGCTGCTTGTTCTGCGCGTTCACGACCTCCTCCGTGGAGCTGATGGCCCTCCACCTGCAGGCCAACCACCTGGGCAAGGCCAAGCGCAGAGACAGCCACGCCGCCGCCGCCGCCACGGGGGTCCCGGCGGCCAACTGCAAAGACCACGCCCGGGAGGCGGCAAGTAAGATGTCCCTGCTGCCCACGGTCCCTCCCGGCAAGGACATGGGGCTTCCTGGGCTGATGGGCTCCCTGGACCCCGCCCCTTCCGAGAAGGCGGCCCCGGGACAGGGCAAGGAGATGCAGGAGGAGGCGAAGAGCGGCCCCTGGCCCGGCCACATGGACCCTGCCTTCTGCCCCTTCCCGTCCTCAGAGTTCTACAAGCAGTTCGGAGTCTTCCCGGGCGCGCTGGGCTCGGGGGCCTCCGGCTCCTGCCCGGGGGGCGGCAAGGAGCCCCCCGAGGGCGGGAAGGCCCTCCCTGAAGACGGCGCCCCCATCCTGATCCCCGAAGCCACGGGTAAGAGCGGGGCGGCGGCGGCAGCCGACGACCTCTCGGACATCGCCTCCTCCGAGGAGGACATGGACTCCTCCAAAGGAGAGAACAACGAGGAGGACGAGGACCTGGAGCCGGAGCCGGAGCCGGCGAGCAAGCCGCTACCCGCGCTGGGCAAGGGCAGCGGCGGCGGGGGCGACCTCGGGGACTGCCTGCTGTCCGCCTCGCAGGGCGGCCTGGCGTGCTCGGCCTCAGCCCAGGCGTCCTCGGAGAAGCAGTGGCACGGCCCTCCCGGGGGCGGCCTGCTTGCGGCCCCCCAGGACCCCGCGGCGGGGCTGCCCAAGCCGGAGCGGGGACCCCCGGGCCTGGAGAAGCCCCTGAACATGCTGTCTGTGCTCAGGGCCTACAGCTCCGAGGGCCTGGCCGCCTTTAACGGACTTGCCGGTAGCGCAGCCAACTCTGGATGTCTCAAGAGGCCAGACTTGTGTGGTAAGTTTTAGAACCCTCTTCTTCTAGCTTGGTTTCCCAAAGCACCCGTGCCGAGTTGTGCATTCAAAAAAAAAAAAAAAAAAAAAAGAGGGAGTAGATTTATCCGTTGGCCAATTTTGGACTAAATATTAGAAAAAGAAAAAACAAAAACAATGCTGTATATGCAATGTAGACAATCGTAAGAGCCGATTTCATGCAGGCGTTTTGGACCTCAGACTTTTTGTGCTCCGATTTGCATCAGGAGGCTCTAGCATATGCCTCCGAGGGAGGCGTGGAGGAAGGGGGTGTCGTTCCACAGTGTGAACCCCTCCTGTGTGTTTCATCCATAAGTTCATGGGGGGTGAGGGTGGGGGAGGCGGGGGGGAAGGGGGGGAAATGACATCAAAAAAGGAAAGCGAAAAGAGACATGGTAACTTGCAAACTTCTCAGTATTTTCGACTCACGCAAAAGGTTGCCCGAAGACCATTCCTCCCTGCTTTCCCCAGCCCAACCCGCTTTCTTAAACCTTCCTTCCGTTGACCTGAGGGGACGCTCAAGCCGTGTCACGCTGACCGCAGTGCCGCTAGGGCTGAGCGGAGCCCCTCTCCAGACAGGGAGGCGGTTCCCGGGTGTCTGCGATTCACCTCCAGACCAGCCCAACGGCAGTTGCCGAGACTCTGGCCTGGCTCTGTGGCCTTCCGCAGTCTGTCTGTGCACCTGTCTGTCTGTCTGTCTGTCCGTCTGTGGTTCTAACCGGAAGTGTGCGCCGTGCAGTGTCCCTGGCCAGCGGTGTCGTGGCCCTGTGTGTCTCGCTGTGACGCTTGTCTGGCCTTGTTGCAAACCGGCTCTTCTTGATCTCCTTGAAAAATGTGGTCCCCCCAGAGTAACTCCAGATGCTAATACCGTGTTTCCCCGGGAGACAAGACGGAGGGTCTTGTATTTATTTTGCCTCAAGAAGACACCCTAGGGCTTATTCTCAGGGGATGTCTTGTATTTATTTATTTTTTTAAGTACGGTACAGCCATCTACATTGATTCAAATAGAGTGAAGGCGTCTTCTTCTGGAACATCATCCTCACTCTCCAGACCCTGAATCCCATCCCGAATTTCTTGAGACTCTGTTTCCTTTAGAACCATTGGCCCCGATCTCTCCTGCGGAGCCACAGAGCTCTCACGGGGCGGATGAGAAGGGCTGCTCGTCTTCTTTCCCGCCCCGCGACGACACGCACGGGTTGTGCAGATGCGCTGCGCAGCCACGCCCGTCGCTAGGGCTTATTTTCGGGGTGGGGCTTCTATTTCCCAAATGCTTAGACATCCTGCCAGGGATTGTTTTATGGCTAGGTCTTATTTTTGGGGAAACACGGTATATAATCCTACATTGGAAGCCTGGAATTGGGTAAAGTGAATGTTGGGATGGGCGGGGAGGGTGGAAGTCATTCTCTGGACGCCCACAGGTTCATGTCTGAAAGCCTTTCTCCAAAGAGAAGCTCCGTGTGTTATTGCCTTTGAAATCTCCCCACCCTAGACAAATGGCCAGGACACCTTCCGTCCCTGGTTTGTGAACGAATTTCTGCAATTCTGCTTCACCTGTTGATGGAAGGGGGGGGGCGGCAGAGGGAGGAGGAGGAGGAGGAATGGAAGTGGGGTGTCTCTGTACCCCAGCATCCTGATATTCCTCTTTGCACAGAGCAGGAGCCAGGAAGCCAGACTCTGTGCTCATAAGATGTATTTCTTTTTCCTCTCTCCTTCCCTGATTCACTAAGAACTGGATCAAGCAGTCAGAAATATTTTTTTTCTGAATTGTCAAAAAAAAAAAAAATCACTAAATGGATTCCTGACAGCTCAAAAAAATATTGACAGTTCCTTATGCTGAATGATTCACAAGGCCCCATTAACCGCTACCCCCAGATCTATTTTTAGCCACCTACGATTTATTACTTTTGAAGCTGCTAAAAACAATATTTAAAAGAAGAAAGAGAAGGGTTTTATGTCAGTCCTGTATCTTTCCCCATTTCTTCTGGGGGAGCAGTGTTTAAATCGTCCTTTTTTTTTTTTTCATTATTGTTTTAAGTTGGTGATTGGGGTGGTTTCTTTTTTAATGTCGTTTAGAGATTTTTTTTTTTTAAAGTCTATTTTCAGTTCTTTCAACTACCTACGTAGGGCCATAGCTCCTGCCAGGAATCCATGCATCAGAAAAGATCAAAACCTGGCATGTTCATGAGCTCATTATTATTGAAATGAGCTCATATTACCAGTATTAATTTTCCCATCTTTCTACGGACGCCGAAGGAAGGCTGCCCGCCTCCCTGGAGGAAGCTTGCCCAGTGGTGTCCTCTTGCCCCGGGGGAGGGTGGATGGGGTTGGAACATCAGGGAATCTGCTGGGGCTCCTGAGCCCTTTCCCTCTGAGCTGCATGCTCTCAGGCACTCCTCGCCCTTTTGCAAAACAGCAGCTTGCAACACTGCACGGGCATTCCCGTGGCGTGTGCAAAACACTTAGCTCGGTCCACCTTTTGGCCGTTGTCAGCAACCCTGAGATGTAAGCGTGGCCCCTTCCCTGCCACAGGGCGGGGATGACGGGGACCCTGGGCCAGCCAGGGTGGAAGCCTTCTTGGCTCCCCACCAGAGAGTCCAGGTCCCCCTGCCTCACCTTCCACGCACGGTTAAGAAGCCAAAGCTAACTATGGGCATCAACCGCCTATTTTTAGAGAGAGTGAGTTTTGCATTCATTTGTCCTCATTTCTTCTGCACCCTCTCGCTTTAGCTTGGAGGCAGCAGGGGAAGCAGCCCTGCCATGGCTTTTGCATTTGCTTGGGGTGCTGGGGGCAGGGGTGGGGACAAGGGGCATTGCCCTTTTGCCTCCAGGATGGGCCCGGCCCCGTCCAGTTCTCCTTCCTTCACCTCGTATCCGGCCCAATGTCATTGCAATCCTCTTCGCATTTTCTCTCGGGCTACTGTGGTTTCCCAAGACCCAAAAGGGCCAGAGGTAGTCGTCCTTCCTAAGAGTTAAAATCTAGGAGGGAAACTTAAATGGATGGAGCCACGAAATAATTTCATTTTTTCACCTCCAACTGTGCGGTCCACTGTCTTATCACATCGCAAGAAGCGTAAGTGAGAGTTGCAAGCTGGGCTCGCTTTGCAAGGGTGAAACTGATATGGGCACAAAGAATTAAATATTCCCGATGCTTCTACCCCCTTGCTCCACGCAAGGTAGGCGTGGGGTTTCCACCCTGGTCTTACCAGGTCGGGCGCTGCTGCTTTTTTTCTTGAGAAGCGGGGCTTTGCTAAACCAAAGAAGTCATTCCTGCGTTTCTCATCTCAGATGGAATTTGGGGTCTGATTTCGTCTGGTTGGTAAACCCAAATCCCCACTTCGACGGCCCTAAAATCCGGCTCGTAGGAAGAGCTCACGCCCCTCTCTGTTTCTCTAAGAAGAGCTCTAGCCTCACAAGGTAGAAAAAGGTTTGAAGAAGCATCAGGAAAACCTTGTCCCAACCAGGTAGACTCCCCGCAGACCTCGGCGGCTTTTCCGACAGGTGCTGGGGAGCTGGAGAAGGTGGCTTCTCCCCCTCCCCGCCCCCCCTGAGTCTTTGAAAGGTTATTCATATCATAGACCCTGTTCTCAGGGGCTGCCCTAAACTCTGCCCGCCCTGACTCCTAACTTTCAAAGCTCTCGTCCTAAATTCCTCTGCATCACGGACCGAGGGTCTCAAGCACCGTGCACGGCCCGTTCCCAGGCAGATGCGCTTCTGGCTCTTCTGGTGCAGAAGAAGAAAGAGCCGACCAGGGAGGAGGCTGGCCCGGTCCAGCTGGGTAGAGAGAGGACTGTCACTCGGGCCAGCGTCGAGAGGTGTCCAGAGCTTGCGTGTGAGTTGTCTGAAGGATTTTCCCACGGGGAGGCCACGTCGTGGATGAGTCCGGGGGAGAGGTTGAGTTGTCTTGGGGCTAAACGGCAGGGCATGCACTGCTACTTCCAGAGTGGGTCGGGCCGAGCTGTGGGTCTGTCCCTCGTTCCGAGAGGTCCCACTGCAGCCAAAGCCTCGGTTTCTCAAGGCGACCCCCGGTTCCCGGGCACGGCTCCCGTTTCTTTGTTCTGTTGGAGGAGAGAGCACAACGCAAGAGGGCTCTTCCCTGCCCTCTGAGATCTCGAATGTGCTCTTGGTTTCGTTGCAACGAGTTTGACTCTGGTTTTGCAAATGGGACAGGCTCCGCGTGGAGTATTTTAACTCGGGGTTGGGGATAGGGCAGACCAGAGCGGGGTTTGCACCCACAGACAAGGCGAGGCAGACAAGCCCAGGGTCCAGACCGAGAAACTCTGGTGGGGCAGCTGGGGCCCCTGGGTGGCTTGCAGGGCCAGGAAAGCCGGCGTGGGAGGCACGAGCTTCCCTGCGCCCAAGCACCGAGGCCGGTCTGCTCGGCTCGGCTCCGCGGGGCTGGCCGGGTGAAAAGCCTACGGACACGCCTCACCTAGAGTCTGTGGGATTTGGACAGCAGCCAGGTGCCCCTGACTCCCTGCCTTTCAAACCTGAGACCCATGGCCGGGGCAAGACATTGTGACGTGCTGGGTCTCGAAAGCGTCTTGCAATGAGGACCCCGGGCCAGCCAGGCTGGACGCCTTCTTGTGTCCCCAGCAGAGAGTCCAGGTCCCCCCACCTCACCTTCCACGCACGGTTAAGAAGCCAAGACGAGCCCTGGCCATCAACCGCCTATTTTTAGAGAGAGTGAGTCCTGCATTCATTTGTCCTCATTTCTTCTGCACCCTCTCGCTTTAGCTTGGAAGCAGCCCTGCCCTGGCTTTTGCATTTGCTTGGGGAGCTAGGGGCAGAGGTTGGGGCATTGCCCTTTTGCCTCCAGATGGGCCCGGCCCCGTCCAGTTCTCCTTCCTTCACCCCGTATCTGCCCGGCGTCATTGCGATCCTCTTCGCGTTTTCTCGCGGGCTGCTGTGGTTTCCCCCCTGAGACCCCGAAGGGCCAGACGGCCTTTGGTGAGCCCAGGGCTGCAGGGACGCGGAGGAGGTGAGGGG